ACCGTACTTATGGAAAACGTGATCAAGAGATGAGAAAGCAAGTAGAAGAACATAATGTTGGCCATTTCGATTTCTTGTTGTTTTGAATTATTGAACTGATTTGGTTTCATTCGGCTTTACCATAGAAATCTATCAGATCTTCATCTTTATTGGATTTACATAACAAAGCTTCTTCTAACATTTCAAAATCAAAATCAAAAGCCGAAAAAGAGAAAGATAAAAAAGAAGCTGTAGTCTGGGATCACGATTCGATGATGGGTTTGGGTGGAAAATTGATGGGTGAGAAACAAAAAGCCGATATGATTAGAGATGCTAAAGGACTCGGTGGTAGATTTGGTGGTGGTAGTTTTTTGTAAAATCAATTCACTTCTTGCTATCTTGTAACATTTTATTGCTCTGTTGAGTAGGCTTTCCATTTTCTATTAATCTGTGAATATTGAAATACTGAAAACGACTGACCCGTGTTGTCAATATCTCTCTGAGCGCCTTAGTAAGTCCAATCAAGGTCAAATCAAACAACAGTGATGAGTAAACTTTTACTGCAAATCTATAACACTGCAGGCAATCTTCCTGACGAGTGATCTAGGGAGAAATGAAGGTGCAGTAATTCCAGCAGTGTATCCATATATTTGTATATAAGTAAGGCACTTCAAGCCTTTAACATCAAGTCCTCCTACTCTCCTTGTGGATTGTGCCATCATATATATATATATATCTCCAGGCTCATTGTGGTTTATATTGTAAGCATCAATGAGCTTCTGTATTCTAGTATAGAGCAAATGACTTCCGTTGTTGTTTGTCCAAGGACATACCTTTGCAACTCCCTGGTTTCTTACCTTCAATGCTAGATTGAATATTAATTCTCTTCACATGAAGCAATCTTTCAAATCTTACTTGCTACAGTTCCTGTTCTTTTACCAGAGTGAGTACAGGGCATACTTCACTGAGGCTTAATTGGTTGATTGCTTTTAGAATCTGTTCAGCTACTCTCTCTGGGATTTTCACTCCCAATAAGTCAGCATGTTTAGCCAGAGTCTACAGAAAACAAAAGACCAAAGAAAGATGAAAATGAAAACAAGCATGTGTTGAGTCAAAAAAAATTGTTTTGCAAGTTTTACTTCCTGTAGATTTCTTAATTGAGGAAATCAGTAAAACATCAAGCTTATATTGTCCTCTGATATTCTGGGTACTGACAGAAAATGAAGTGGTGTTTAGGTTTCCAACGTTAAAAAGAGACTCAATAGGATGGTTCTGAATCTGTGTTGAAACCTGAAATGGGGTGTGATAGATCTCTAGACACTTAAAAATATGTTCAATCTAAAAATTATCAATAAATTGATTCAAACCAGAGATTATACAATTTCTTAGATCACAATATCTTTTTATGAGAATAGCCTCGGAGGTGAGTGGTCCAGAGATACTTGACCATTTTCCAATGACTTGGGACCGCTTGGGGGGTGGTTGTTTTAGTAATTTGAATATCTCTCTGATTTCTAAAAGGATACCAAATTTCATCCCAGAATGGGCACAGAGTAATACTTCACCCAGGCCTAATCCGTTTGTTGATATTGGGATGTAACTTTCCACTCTCTTTGGGATCTCTACCCCCAATAAGTCAGCATGCCTGGCCAGATCTTTGATATGTGCTTCAAAACGTTCTGAGATTCCTGGATTCTTCTCAGTCAGATAATATCTGGTAGGCTCTGACCTCCAAACAAAATTTCTGTTTTTATACTCTTCGCCACTGTATGAAATGACCTTCCCATTCATAGCATCAAGCAATTTAGATGCCCTGGATTGAATATCTGTTCTATCTATCTTTGTCAAATAATCTGTAGTTCCCAAATCAAGACTTTGATCTATAGCAATAAGTATAGCTAAATCAACAAGACCTTCCTTGACTTCTCCACTTTTGCAAACCTCTTTGACAAAATTTGATTGATATTGAGACATCAGATCTAGTGTTACAACACGCTTGAACACTTGACCCCCAAATATTCTCACAGCTTTCTGCATGGTGACTGGACTTTGGTTTTCAAGAAATTTTGCTTGCTGACGATATATTTGATAATCTTTTGGAGATGATTCCTCAAATGTTGGAAATTCTTCATCAGCTTTCAGAGATTTGGCCCAGTCTTGAGCATATTCTGGCAGATGATTTTTGATATGATGCCACTTCCAGACAATGAGTTTTTCTCTGAATTGTTCATCTAAGAAGATTACTCTCCGTGCTCCCTCAGATAAATCTCCAAAAGAATGCACAAATGACCACATGTCTTCCTTCCATGTATCCATTCCTTCCATGTATCTATGGGAATTCAAGTAATCAAACTCTAAATCATTGATCAAGATAGACAGGCCAATTGTCTTATCATGGAATTTCAAGCAATTCTGAAGGAATAGCCTTCTATCCAGTTTGAAGAGTTCTTCCTTGGTGAGCAAAGTTTTTTTGTCAATTTTTGGTACTTGATTATTGATTGAAGCAGGAACTACTGTATCAAACAATGATATTGAAGGTTTGAGAAAGTTTACCGCAGAATTGTTCTTGCCCTTCTTGGATTTGTTATTTTTCTTCCCTTTTTTACTTCTAAGAGTTTTTCTCTTTCCTTGTCCATCTTTTTCAATCTCCTTAGCTGTATCCTTTGAGTCCTTCAGTCTTTCTTTTCCCAGGTCTACTTCTGACCCACTAGTATTCCCATCCTGCAAAGCCCCAGGGCTGTTTTTTTCAGTACTTGAGTCTCCATTGATATTGTTCAGATTCTCTTTTTCATCTTCCAAAAAGTTTTGATCACTGAAACTATTCCCCAAATCAACCACTGGATTATCTGCCTTGGTGTTTCTGAATGCTGTGGCCTCTTCATCATGGGGTGTTTTGAATGATGGGGTTTGAAATTCTTTCTTTTGCTCTTTTAGTGCAGCATCTCTGTTTTCTGGATTCAAAGCTTCATCAAAATCATTCAATGCAACAAATGAGTTTTTATCACTAATCACTTTGATAGGTGTTTTTGAAACTTCTGGCATTGGTTTCTTTTCTTTCACATCTGGAAGAGCTTCTCGTGGGCTGATTTTTTGGGTTTCAAATTGGTTTGTCTTTTCTTGAGTCACCAATCTCTTTGGTTCATTGGATTGTAAACCTTTGGGCTTCGTCTTGCTTCCCTTATGATTATATGAGTTGATGTTCTGTGTCTCAACTTTCCTTATGACATCTGTCTTGGACTTAATCCATGAGCTGGGAACTTTTGCAACCTTTGAGAAAACTTCTGGATCCCCTACCTGGACATCTGGTCTGATGTTATCTTGTTTTGAAGGATCTTTTGATGCTATCAGTGGATTATGGGGTGGCTGTTGATTCAGCTTGTGGGTGTCAATGGTTCTAAGTTTCCTTTCTATCAAATCACTCTTGGAGTATGGGTCATTACTTGAACCAATCTGGGCTTTTGGAATCTCCTTTGTCTTTGGGAAAACCCGAGTGGATTGAGTATCTGCCTTAAGATTATCCATCTCCATAACATGGCCTGTCACCACAAGAGATGAAGTTTAAACATACACTGCTTATTCAAGACATCAGATTATGAACCTATAAGCTCACCATTAACTTCATTCGGCCTTCTGAAGGCCACTTCCAATCCTTCAGGCTGACATTGTGAATCTTCAGTTGGATGATAACGTTCAGAAGGCTCAGATTTTTGAATTTCTTTGAATGATGGTTGTGTAGTTGTGTATTTTTGATAAGATACCACAGATGGTTGAATGTAACCCATACAATCAATTGATGATGTATAACTGGCAGAGTATGGTTCTACTTGTTTCAAAAGACTGAACATGCAACAAATGATGTCAGCTTCAAGAATTGATTGATCTAAACCTTATTTCCTCACATTGCACATACCTTTTGGAGTGTTGAAATGTTTCCTTTGTATGAAAGTCCTCAAAAGAGCCATGTGCATTGTTGTTGGTTGGTGTTATCATCTCATGTTTAAAAAAGGAGAATCCTGATGAAGTCTTTCCCCCTTCCTCAAAATCAGCCTGGTTAGTTGCTTCTGAGGACAATGGGAATATACCATCCAAGATTCCTGCACTTTTCCATAGATGATAATATCTTGATCCACCCTCTTTGCTCTCCAAATATGACTTTGATAACCCATCAAATGCCCAACTCAGTTGAGGTTTGAATGATAGAAGATAAATCAAGCAGAATATGATATTTGTCTGCAAGCAGTCAAAGTAGAATCCTTTCATGATTGCCTTCATGATTGACTTGTTACAATTGAGGTTGAATTATCTAGTTGAAAAGTGAGGTTATGATTTAATTGGAAAAGAAGCTCAATGCAAAAATTGAAACATTTATCACACTACATATTTCTCTGACTCTGTGAGTGGTCTCCGGTCTGTAAGATGTACACACCATGTGTACTATGTAATCAGTGTGACCTCACTCCAATTCTTGTAAAATGTGCAGCAACATATGTAACATGTCACAAAGTCTAACTCACACAACACATGAGAATCAGCTCAAGTCACAGTCAGTGTAAATAGCACTGCAAGTTGACTTTCTGGAACCCCATCAGACAAGCTTGATATGTGCTGCCATGTCTCCTCAGGTTTGTCAATCTTCAAGCAAAACACTTTGATCCAATCTTTCCATTCTGACAATTTATCCCTCAATTGGTGATGTTTGTCAGACTTTGTGTCATTTTGGATTGGTCTTCTGATGCCCTGTTCTCAATTCATGTATCTACTCAAAATCAAGCAATACAAGTGCAGTATTTTACTTTTTGCAGTTCTCCTTTTGTCCCCCTGCAGAAACTAACATCAACATTTTAGGAGACCTCATCTTATGTGATCAGAAGAAAAAACAAGTATGTAGTTTCATTGCAATGAAGTCTATGGTGGGTAGTGCTTAGAAGTCTCAATTGTTGGACAAAATCCAAATGTGTATAAGAACTGGGTTTTTTGTATGGGCAACAAGAAGGCAAAAAGAAAGAAGCTGCAAAAGAACTCCATGAAAAATAAACCACAACAACTAAAGCTGAGATTTCTAGAAGTGATTATGTATGTACATCATGAACCCCTTGCATCCCCTTTGTTTGTTTGATGTAGAATGATTCACAAAATCTCAATCTATTGTGATGATACTTCAAAATCATGTGCAACTGGTCTCAAGGCTAAGTACAAAGCAGGCAAAATTGGTATGCAATGATACCCTTGCACTTTTTGATGCTCCATAAAATATTATTATATTCACACTGTCATTTTACTACTCACTGGCAGACCAGTGAGTACATCCAGCTCAATCCAATCTCAAATCCATGTCAGTTCAATATCAATCCAATCTCAATGTTTGGCCTAGAGTAGCAGACAAACAACCTTCCAGAATGAACTGGAATAAAGTTTGGTTGCATGTCCACACATGAAGGTGTCAGAATGTCTGGGTTTGTGTGATTATGCAGCCCATGCATATCCCCCACTCAAACATAATTGGAGGTCAAACTGATATTGAACTGACATTGGATTGAGATTGGATTGAGGTGAATGGAACTCACTGGCCTGCCAGTGACTAGTAAAATGACACTGTGATTGCTAAAGCTTTGTACACTCTCAATAACAAGGGATACACACACAACATATTTAAATATCAAAATGAATTTTATTAAAATCATCTCTTCTCTCTTCCTCTCTCTCTTGACTTTGTACTTTTCTCTTTATCTTCCTATAAGTTGAGCTCATAAGAATAAAAATGATCCATGCACCCAAACTGATGACACTAACAACTGAGAGAGAAAAATAAAAAATGACTAAAAACTGAAAACTGAAAAACAACGTGTTGACTTAAAACAAATATAGATCAAAGGTAAATTACCTTATATAATAACAGATAAGATTAATTTAATCTCTTACAGATCCTTCATCATTAACACCTACAATCCTATTCTTAACAGCCTCTTCTTCTTCTTCTTCTTGATTCTCTTCATTCCCAATCCTTTTTCCAACTTGACCAATAAACTCTTTTTCATTACGATCATCTGATTGATATTTACGTTTCCTCTTGATCAATCTTTCTTCATTTATAATCACTTCTTTTAATAATTCATCAATCACTTTCTTTTCTCTTTCTAAACTTTTTAAACTTTTAATCAAGATTGAAATTCCATATACTGAACTTATTGTAACTTCATCCTTTTCAACATTTTCATTTGCTTTTTTCTTTCTTGGCGTTTTCTGAGGTGATAATACATTTGATAGTTTGGATTTAGAGGGTGATGAAAATCCCATCGATCTTGAAAATTTATTTTTGGATGGTGTACTTGTTGTTGATCTGATACTACTACTCGGACTTAGAAAAGAGTTCATCGAAATCGCCGATGAGAGGTTTACTAGTCCTCTAGTCTGTAAGCCTGACTCGATGACATCTTGCCATTCACATTCACTAACTTCAGCAATCTTCAAGCCTTGCATCAATTCCTTATAGACAGCAAATGCTCTCTTCTTTCCTACTCCGCCTTCTCCACCGTTGGCTTGATGACGAGACCAAGCTACACAAAGACAAACTAGTCCTAGACTTTGATGCAAGTTCAAATCATTGAGCTTGATCTTGCACTCCTGTTCTGAACAAGTTTTGTTACTCGTACTAGATTGATTCAAGATTTTGCTTTGGTTCAAGTATTTGATTAACTCGGTGGCTGTGATCTTGGGGGCGGTAAGAGGTGTGAAATGACTGGTAGGATCTATAAATGGGTTGGTTTGGGGTTTAGAGTTATTGAGATCAGGTAACAGTTGAGAAGTAGATATGATTCGGCTGAATTTCCTCATCTTGGTGGGCGTATCAAGGACCGAATGGTTAGAAGTAGGGTCATTTTCTTTCGAGCTTGGGTTGGTGAAATCAATATTCTCAATTGCTCTCGATTCCAAAGTATCAATCAACTTTCGCAGAATTGCAAGGAACGTTCGGAGATCTCCTGTGACAGTTGAGACTCTTTTCGCACATAGTGTGAGAGCGGTCGACTGAAAGAGGGGAATCGATTCAGAGTTAAGCGGAATGTTGTCGCTGAAAAGTTTTTGAGCTGGTGATGAGCCCCAGGTCGAGACAGATGGTGCAGCTCTGGAGTAAGACGGAAGAAGATGCTTGAGGCGTTGTTTGACGACCTGAATCATGTCGTTTGCGTCAAACGGACTGAAATGGATCAAGTCCGGTTCGGGCCGATGCCCTTCATCTTCAGTCGACTCCAGGGACCACGTGAATCGGGTGGTGAGATCAAGCGTGTTGGCAATTCCGATAACTGTAAAGTTGGAGTTCGGAGCAAGTTGTGAAAGGGTTAAGAGAGAGGTGATCAAGGGTTGTTTCGACGTGGCCAAATGATCAATCTCATCCAATACAATAAGACTGGGCAAAATGAATACCAAACATTCAGGGCTGGGTATATTCCAGGATAGAGATAGGAAAAAAAGACTAACCAGGGTTGAGAATGTTCGGTGAGGATAAAGTTCTTGACAAGATCTTTAATGCTTGACTTCTTACTCGTCTTTTGAGGACTTCTGGAAGAGATCTCCTTAAGTCCTACACAAACTGCAATCTTACGCCAAAGTTGTTCATCGAGTGAATTACTACTCGAACTGAATGATGAATCGATCATACTTCCAGATGAGCCAAGTGGATTGCCCATTGCCATACAATTGATAAAATGAACTCGTATTCCTGAAGATGTCAAAGTTTGATGAATTTGGTGATCCGGGTTGAGTAAGATTGAATTGATGAGATGCGTCTTTCCTGTACCCGGTGGTCCAGAGATGTAAAGGCTTTTACCTCCATCTGGATTATAGTTGTCATCATCAAACAGGCTGGGATATCGATTATTCAAAAATTGATGTATCTTCTTCACTTCTTGGGACCGTCCTACAATTTCATCCTTTCCTAGATCAGAAACTGATGATAGTCGGAGTAGATGGCGAGCGTGACTGAATACGTTTGGGAAGGGTAGCTTGACGATGGGTTTGACAGCTTGCTTGGGTTTTGGTGTCTCTTCCAAGTCTATCGATGTAGGAGTGGAGTCTGGGAGTAGAAAAGAGAATATCCCGAGTCAGCAAAGTGGGGGCAAGAAACAGTTGTATAACCGAATTCGTAAGGAACGACATGGATAGTTCAGATTGAAGAGGATTTGGACAAACCCGGTACAGGAGAGCGGTCTTGGATTTGAAGAATATTGGTATGAATGGTTTCGAGTTTAAGTCTTTTGGAGTCTATCTCATCGATCGAAAGTTTGCAAGGATAAGAGATCGACTTAGAGAGTGGTTTTGAAGGTGAAGAATTGAGTCTAGAAGAGGTTCGTCTGATTTTACAGGGTGGTGACGACGAATGATAATTTTTAGTATCTTCTGCTGATGGAGATGGAAAGGTCGATGAGGAAGAGATTATGCCATCAATGGCACCAAAAGTGGTGAACGGATTGCTCTTGAGATTTTGAGATTGAACGCGAGTCGTTTGTTTAGAGGGTTTGGATGGACTTTGATGAACGGAAGGAGAGGATGAGGTAATTTGAGATGATGGTCCTCGACGTCTGGTGGCAGTGACCATGATGGATGGTTTTGAGATAATGGTTTTAACTGATGAGTGGTGATATGCTTCCGAGAACGGAAAATCGACGGATGATACTGAAGTTAAGGTTGGGGTTGGATTCAAGAAAAGCGTAGGCTTGACCTTGTAGAAAAGTAATAGCGAATCCAAGAAAGTGACTGAACAAACAAAAACAAAATAACTGATGTATGAATGAGAATGGATGAGGGATGAGGAATGAGGATGAGGATGAGGATGAGGATGGGTTGAGGATGGGGCGGGGTCGGAGGAAGGTAAACAAGAATTTATGGATTTAAGCCGACGCGTCTCAGCTCAGGTCACATGACCATGTCCATGTCGCGTACTTTGAGCGAGATCACGTGATTGATTTGCTTAGTACACTGAAGTCTGACAGCACCATTCCTCCAGCACTGCGGCTCACAAGAGCTCACAAGGCCTTATTTGTGTCAAAAGATCTGAACATGTTTCTCATTCAAGCTCCAGTTGGCAAGTTTCCAACGCTTCTTCGGGTCAACAAAGTGCTACCTCAAGTTCACAAAACTCAATAACTCGGCAAGACTCCAAACGTTCTACTTCACATGATGACTCTGCATCTCGCCATGCAAGGCTAGCTAGACTCATTCAACTTCCCATTATCAAGGACACGTGAGGAATGAGTTGAAATATGAAACTCCTTGTGCTTTATCTAGATTACATATCATGAATGAGTGGTGGGTTCTTTGGATCTTACCAAAGGTGCTCCAGGCCATTGTCACTGATATGAGCTTGCAAACCAACTATAATCTTGCCTCTCAAATCACAATACTTTTTTATACTAACAGCTTCGAGTAATAGCTCATCTTCAATGCTATCCCAACATCCAATTATCTCAGCTCGTTTTTTATTGATTTTGGTCCGGGGGTGTGTGCCCGTGCTGTCATGATAGTTCAAAAGATTTTTCAATTTTACAAGGGCTTCAAGTTTCAGACCAGCATGAGTACTGAGTAATATCTCACCCAGACCTAAACCTTTAGCTGATTCTGGAATGTAAGCCTTTAAATAGTCTGGGATCTTCACCTTCAAACGGTCAGCATGGTAGGCTAGGTTTTTGATACGTTCTTCCACAAGTTTTCCTGTTCTTGAACCTGGCTTGGTAAGATATGACCTGGTGTATTCTGAGATCCATTCAGAACCTAAGTTGACATATGTTTTACCACTAAACCCAGTAACTTTTCCATTCATGGCTTCTATCAGTTCACCTGCCTTGTATTGAATATCATCCTTGTCAGATTCATCCTTCAGCCCATTCTCATGTGATAAGAGAAGAGATTGATCAAAGGTGATAAGTATAGGAAGATCAATCCCTTCCTGGACTGCACCACTATCAAAAACCTTGCGTAAGAAATCCGAAATATAGTGTGACATTAGGTCAAGGGTAATAACCCGCTTGTCCATGATATGACCAAAGATTCCAACAACCTTTTTGATTAATTTTGGATCACGTTTTTTCATTGAAGTCTCTCTATCAAGATATATATTCCAAAGATCAAGATTTGAGTCTCTAAATGTTGGAAACTCTTCATCTGGTTTTAATGATTGAACATAAGTTTGAGCATATTTTGGTAAATCATTCTTTGTTTGATTCCATTTCCATACAATCTGTTTTTCTTCAAATTGTGCTCTAAGTGATCTTAGCCTCCTTATGGCTTCACCACAATGTCCAAACTTTTCAATAAATCTTTCCCTTGGTGGATTCCAAACATCAGAATCTTTTGGGTAACCTGAAGCAATCAAGTATTCAAACTCTAAATCACCCAATGTGATTGTCAGATGATGTGTTTTGTTTTGAAATTTCAAGAAATACATCACAAATTCTTCTACAGTCAGTTTGATGAGATCTTCCCTTGTCAATATCACACTTGATTTTGATGGCTTATCATTACTTGAACCCAAAAAGTCTGCATCAAATGAGGATATTGCATTGTTTTTGTCCTTAGGACTGTTTTTTCCCTTCTTAGATTTATTATTTTTCTTCCCTTTTTTAGTCTTTGATAACTTAATTCTTTGTTGAAAATTGTTTCTATTCATCTCATTCATTTCTTTTGTGTTGTATGATGTCAGTTCATCCATCTCTACTTCTGATCCACTGTCATTTACTTTGTGTTTTGTAGGGCTTTTCTCTTCAGTTGGATCTATTTCACTGTTGTTAAGGTTTCCCTTCATATCTTTGGAAATCCTTTGATCATCATCACTGTCCAATGAATCAACCCCTATAAAATCTGACTTTCTGTTGTGGAATTCTTCTGCTTCTTGAGGAGGAGTCTGAGATGTATTTTCTGTTATCTTTGGGACCTCTTTTTGTTGATTTGAATCCAAAGATTCATTCAAATCCTCCAAAGCTTTAAAGGAGTTTATATCATCATGCACCTTGTCATATGATTGAATTTCCTGTGAATTTTCATTGCCTAGGATCTTCTTTCCTTGTGAATCTGACTTAGCTTTAATTGCAGTCATTCCTTGGTAGATAAATTGGTTCTTCATCTTTAGGGCTATAGCATCAATACTTGCTTTTGGGTTTTTGACTGAGTCTACAGGCTGTGCATTAAGCTTTCTAATGGTATCTAAATCACAAGGCCTTGATTTTTCCTGATACTCATCAACTTTTTTTGAGAACAATTCAGGATCTGCTGTATGGCCTTGGACATTGCTGATCTTTGTTCTTGAAAATTTATTTGCTGATATTTGTATAGGGTGGGGTATCTTGTGGTCTTTCTGATCATTGTCAATCCTTATGAACTTCCTTTCTATCAAAGCACTTTTGGAATTTGGCTCCTTATTTGACTCTGACCCACTAGGTATCTTTGACTCCATCTGCACTTTTGGAACTTCTTGGATCTTGGGGGAAGCCGGCTTTGAAGGCACACTTGCTTCAATTGGATCCTTCACCGTTGAAGTCTCTGTTACAACAAAATTGATTGTCAAAAAAGCATTTTTTTGCGTGGGAATTTCTAGCCTTAAATCTTACTATCATGAACTTTTGTGCCACTCTTGGGGACCCCTGTTGAGGCTTTAGGCAAAGCATGGGCATCATTGGCTGGCTTGTTTTTTTCAGTCATTTTCACAACGTCTTTGAGCAATGGGTCTGCTGTTGCTTCCTCCTGTTCAGATGATGCATATGTCTGTAAATGACTTGTATTATCCATTGAAATCCCTTCACTGAGATCTGGTGGTCCAACTTTCCTCCTGGGACTATATATGAAATTGAGACTTCAGTATCAATTTGTAATTGTTCTATGGACCAGCATTTGATTTTGATTACATACCTTTCTATCTCATGCTGAAGGTGTTCTGTCCTCTGGATCCCATCCACCTGCTTCTTGTTTGGATGCTCCATTTGATATTGAAAAAAGGAGAATTTTGAAGTTTTTTGGCCCCCTTTCTGAAGCTTGGACCTGATGATAGGTTCAGGGGCCGACATAAATGCACCATCCAAGATTCCAGGACTTGACCATAAACTATAATATCTTGGCAATGATTTCCTGCTTTCCAAAGATGGCTTGGTATAAGAGATTGAGGCACATTCTAGTTTAGTAGCAGATAACAGAGAATAAACAAAGTAAAAAAGAAGATTCATTTTGAACATAAGTTGATTACCAAATAAAATCCTAAAGCAATATTTATCTGGATAAAGTAAAAGAAAATGTATTTTTGACAATTTTTGGGATTTCCAAAAGCTTGGGAAATCCTGACTTGGAAAGACTAGAAAGATCTCCTAAATAAAAGACAAAATGTTCATCAGACATCAAAGATGAAGTTTGAGATAATGTTTTGGAATCCGTAAGCCATTGAAGAACAGACATGTGTCAAGTTCAAGGAAAAAAAGCTTGAGTACATCCTGTCATAGATTTGGTTTTGGTTGAAATTCTGACCCATATTGATACAGCACCTCAGAGCTTGGAGGGAAAGTGAAACAGATCTACAATTGGCTTTGTGGTGTGCAAAAACTTGTCTTACAATTTCATAATTCAGCTTCAAATCAGATAAAGTGAAGTCTACTGGTGAACACAAATGGAGGACTTGATACATGGCCATTCTATCTCTGCTTTGCGGGCAAGTGCTAGGATTACAAGCTTCTATTTCAGATATGTCTAGTATACAATATAAACTGAACATTTCTCCATTCTCAGCCTTATGCTATCCTAACTTAGGATGTCCTAAGTTGAGAATACTGTGGGGGAGGTCTTGAGCCTAGAAATGTACCAGGGTGACCCCAGGGCCTATGTCTGAGGCCCTGTGTTGTCTACCTCCCGGTCCATTCTGGGCTCCAGACTATGTAAAGTGCCTGGAAATGGGTACCAGAGAGTATAATCCTAGCCTACCTCACCTTGGGGTATTGGAGAGCCCCAAACTCACTAATACCTATCCTCTCAGGTATCACAAGGTTTCTGTATGGCTGAAAGCCTACACTGAAAGCCTACAGATACCCCCTGTATTCTATTGGTTATTTTGGTTATTTGATTATGTGTTGTTATGAAATGTTGTTATGTTGCTTTGCATATTTGATTTCTGTTGCTCTAGCTGCTATTTGTAATGATTGCTCAACCACATTTCATATTGTCATAAGTGTCTCAAGATTGTTTCTTCTAACTCTCTCTTCTGTTATACATTTCTTTATAAAGACCTGTGGGTTTCTGCACCTAGATACAAACATCATCTGTTGTTCTATCTACCTCATCTATAAGCTTTAGATTGACATCTTATAAACTCATGCATTACTCACAGGTAAAGTGTCTTTTTGTTTTTGTCTTTTTGTCTTTTCTCATTTTCTTTCATTTAATACTTATATTTTGTATGAAAGAAATGAACATTATCTGTTTTTGTATCTACCTCATCTATAAGCTTTAAATTGACATCTTATAAACTTGTGCATTACTCACAGGTTATGAGCCCAGGATAGTTCTTCCTCACTGTGGGAACCTCATTTACGGGTATTCAGTTTGACAGAGACACTTAAGCCTTTTGACTTGAAGTCTAATTATGCACGTGTTTGTCAAGTCTCCCTAATCCAAACTTGCTCTGTTATCTTCTTTTGGGCTATCTTTGATTTCCATTCTTCACAATGATAATCTATTCTCCTCTATTTCCTCTGAATCAAACTTTCTTAGGTATCTTTCATATGCTTTTGACTTCCAGTGACCTCTGCTTATTATTTGATTCAGCGCTACTCCTTCATTCCATAGGAAGGACACTCCACCCACTCAAAAAGGATGTCTGGTAAGTCTATCAAAGCCGTCCTTCTTCCACAGTTTCCTGAGTATTGACATCAATCTATCTTTTGCAAGCCTGGTGCCTCCTTTTCCATCTTTCTGGTCAAAAGTGAATAGAAAATTTTCTGAGCAGGATCCATTTTGTATGTCTTCCATACTAGTATCTCTACCGCTGCAACTGGGCATAGGATTGATTTATGTCTTTGAGTTCACCTAGGCATGCCATGCCCCAGAAGGCTACAAGCGTGATTTTCACTGAAATTTTGGCCACTCCGATGTTTCATGGTACGTTTCTTAGTAAGCTTGCTAAGTGTATGAGGTGAACTGTGTTGGTTTTTACGACGGCAAATAGTGTTGCATGATATTTCTTTACTTAGCGTGTGATTTTTCTGTTTTCTGATTCTGATGATCTGTTGTGGTGTGTGATCTTATTTGTTATGTTTCTACTATTTGATTTGTCGTCATGCCTGCTCTTTTCTTGTCTAGTGTTGTTAACTCTTTACTGCGTACATGTGATAGTTTTTCTCTTCATAAGCCGCCTATGAGTCAAAGGGTTTGATCCTCATTGATTCAAACCCTTTCTTCACCTTCACTCATCTACAATATCCTTACTTACAACGTAATTGCATTATCGTGAATGACTCATAGGTAAGCTCATTTCAGTCTAATAGTGTTTTCCTCTCTCTTATCTCTCATTTATTTACTGTTTGTGTGTATGTGTTTGTGCTCTGCGTGTTTTTCTGAGAAATAAATGTTATGATTGATTCAAACCCTTTCTTCACCTTCACTCATCTGCAATATCCTTACTTACGACATAATTGCATTATTGTGAATGACTCATAAACTGGTCATTTCTGAGTTGTGCCTTTTTGTCTTGAGTCTAACACCTTTGTGGCTTTCAGTGCACAGCTGATTTCTCGTGGGCCTCCGTCTGGAAATTGTAGATGGTGGAAGGGGTGCCACGCTCTCAATCCTGAGAGGTAAGCTTCTATGGTTGTTGGTTAAAGAGGAGTTTGAGATATTGCTGGAATGTCCAGATTTGGTGGAAGCTTGCAGATCTGAGCATGTGAAGAGGGGGAAAGGCGGCAAACCTACCCCTACAAAATCCCCTTCCAAGTCATCCACATCAAATCCTCACACCTCAAACCTTCACATCCACACCACCCTCATTTTAGTGATTTTCTTCCAAACTTCACCCACATCTACAGGTGGATTCCAGGGTCCACTTTTTGCCCTGATGGCTTTCATTCTTGAACCATTCCTCAGCTTCTATATTTGGATATACTTCATGATTTCAATCTGTTCATTTGTTTGCTGAATGTGCCTCACAGTGACACTCTGACAGGTAAGCGCCAGAAATAAAGACTCCATAAACTATCATGAGACTCAATTTATATTGAAAACAGAACAGGCACATAGAGATAAAAGAAAACAAGAAGAACACCTGCATAAGAATGATGAAATTGAAGAGACTTTTGACTCATAAATGATATAAACTTGACAAGCCCATCAAATATTAGCTTAGAGGCAGTTTCTTAGCACAAACAACAACAATCAATATGTGGAGAAAAACAGCACAATTGGTGTAAAACCATGGTAATCCAAGATTATCTTGAACATCAACATCTCATATCAATACCACCATTCACATATTTGATAACATAATCTCTAACATACATCACTATGACACCACAAAATCAAAACTAACCAACACAGAATTCCACACAGTGCCTGTGTGGACTGCCCCAGATTTTGGGAGATCCAACAATTACAAAGGCTTGCCTTTGTACACGTGAGGGCCCTCAACTTCCAGGGAACCCTCAAGGCTCCATAGACACAGTGCTATCAATCCATTTGATACCAAAAACCCATCAATATTTTCCCAAACAACAGCAGTCAAAACAGACAAATGTGGTGTAGTTGGGACATAGTTGTATGTTATTCACATCAAAAAGATGAATTCATGCTGATTTTTGTGATAAAAAAGAAAAGAAAATTGAGATAACCATAGCATTCTAAAATATCAACTAGCAAGGATGTATCAATCTTCTGTAACATTACAAAAAACCCTGCATATTACAGCGGGCAATATAAGCATTCAAATTACGGATAACAACATCTTTTAAATCACAGTATCTTTTTATATCATCAGCCTCAGAGGCAAAATCTTTGCGGATGCTCTCCCAATCTCCAATGCACTTGGTCTGTTTTCTGTTCAGGGGTTTTGTGCGTGTCTTTGGGTCTTTAAATTCATCCCACTTCAAAATAGCTTTCAATTTGACCAGTGATTCAAGATCAAGACCAGCATGAGTGCTAAGTAATATGTCACCCAGACTTAAACCTTTACCTTTGATTGATGGTGGAATATAAGCATCCAGAGCCTTTGGAACTGGTACCTTCAAGTGGTCAGCACGGTTTGCAAGGGCTTTGATACGTTCTTCCACAAGTTTTGCAATCCTTGAACCAGGCTTTGTTATATATGCCCTGGTACATTCCTGCAACCATGAACAATCTGACTTGAAATATTCTTCACCATCATAACCTGAAACTCTGCCATTCATAGCCTCTATCAATTCAACTGCATGGTATTGAATATCTTCCTTGTCTGTGTCATCCAACCATCCATCTTCATGGGATAAGCAAAGAGATTGGTCAAATGTGATAATTATAGGCAAATCAATCCCCTCCCTGATTGCACCACTGTCAATAATTGATTCAACAAGATCTGAACTATGATGAGACATCAGATTCAGTGTAACAATCCGCTTCTCCATCATCTCACCCAAAATTCCAAAAACCGTCTGAATCATATTTTCATCATGTTCCAGAACATAGTTCTTTCTATCAGAATAAGCTTGCCAATCATGGAGGGTTGCATCCCTGAAGGTTACAAACTCTTCATCAGGTTTAAGTGATTCTACAAAATTTTGAGCATACTTGGGTAGTGTATGCTTTTGATTCTTCCATTTCCAAACCATATATTTTTCCTTGAATTGTTCATCAAGACAAGCTACCCTCCTTATTCCTTCACGCCAAGGTTCAAAGTTGTTAGTAAAGTCTATACTTAGCTTATCCCAAACCCCAGATTCTGTGTATTTGAGTGACATCAGGTATTCAAATTCCATATCACCTAATATAATTGGCAAGTATGGAGTATTATTGCGTGATTTAAGGAAATGTCTTAGGAATTGGCTTTGGTCCACTTTGAAAAGCTCTTCCCTTGACATTTCAGATTGTTTTTTTGATGGTTTATGATCAGTGGAATCCAAGAATTCTGAATCAAAAAATGGTATGGAAGTGTGTTTTTGTATAGAAGTATTTTTCCCTTTCTTAGATTTGTGGCTTTTCTTCCCTTTTTTATTCTTTGCAGTCTTACTCCTTCTTTGACTAGCTTTTCCACTTTCACTCATTTCTTGTAGGTCATCTTGTTCAACTTCATCCACATCTGGTTCATCTTCCCCCTCATCTCCTTCTTGTTGTGCAGAGCTGACTTCAGCATTTGGATCTTCCTCAACATGATTTGCATTCTCTGTATCATTTCCCAAAGCTGTGTTGCCATTACTATGTGCTGTATCAACCACTGCATAGTCTGCCTTTTGTTTAATGAGTTTTTCTGTGTCTTCATTGTCTGGTTTATTTTCTGATGTATTTTTGATCTCTTGCTTTTGATCTGTCATTGGTGGGTTTGCCTTGAGGTCTTTGTCATCCAAAGCTTCATTGAAATCTTCCAAAGCTTTGAAGAAGTTCTTGTCATCAAGGACCTTATCATTCACTTTTTCTTCCTGAAACTTTGCTTTATAGGGGATCATGTTCATACCTTTTTTATATGACATACCTTTGTTTTTAGTCAGTTTCTCAGTGGATCTGTGGTATGCTTTCAGGGGTGACACTTCCAACCTCATTTTTCCTTGTTTAAATGAGTTGAGATTCTGTGAATGAATCTTTGTTGTAGTATTCATATCCCTACTACTTGATCCTCCAGAGAATTTGGGAGCTTTTGAATACACTTTACGGTCTCCTATATGGCCGCTTATCATCATGTTATTTTTGTTTGGAACCTCTTGTGCTGATATCCCTGAGAGTTGGTGTACCTTTTGATTCTTATTCTCATTGTCTCTGGGAATATTTACTTTTGAGGCTTTTGATTCTGTCTGAACATTCAAAATTGATGGAATATTTGGGGAACCCATATTGGATGGCACATCTTCTTCTGGATCACTTTTTGTCATAATATTACCTATTCCAACAAGAGATTCTGGTTAGATTGATTATACTCTCTTGAGACATTGATTCTTTGGACATTCATCTCACCATCAACTTTTTTTGAACTGCTAGAGGTCCTTCTTGGGCTTGCAGGATGAGCTTGTGCATGATGGTTTTTTAGATAATCTCCAGGTGGCTTTATCTTCACAATATCTTTGAACAGTAGGCCAGTTGCTTCTTGTTGCTGGTCAGATGATGACAATAGTTGTGGATGACTAGTATGACCCATCAATGCTTTTTCATTGATAGATGTTGGGCCAGCTTTCTCCCCAAGACTAACCATGGGTGTTGATTCTCAGTTACAAGAATTGAGTTATCAATGAACCAGACATGATTTTTGATCACTTACTTGTCTATATCATGTGGAAGGCTTCTTTGGCTCTTTAACTCTTGAGGAGCTGTGTGATATGTTTCTGGCTTTGCTATCTGTGGACCATTGTGATAAAGGGAGAAATACTTTACTTCTTTGGCTTCCTGAAGATTAGAACTTGTAGCAACTCCTGGGGTTGATGTGAATAATCCATCCATGATTCCAGGACTTGTCCATAGATTGTAGTCCCCTGATCTCAATGCCTCAAACTTCAAAGGGGTTTTTGTGACAGGTTTAAGATTTCCATGAATTTGACTGGCTGATGATATCAAATAAACCAAGACAAACATCTGATTGATATTGAAAATACCATAATTAAATCTTGAGGTGATCTTCTTCATGAGAATATGATGAGAGGAAGCCTTTTCAAAACTTGTCTATGATTTTGATATGTCTGGGCAAAGCTTGACTTATAAAAGAACAACCGGGAAGTATATAACACCAGGAAGATCATCAATCAAACACCGCAGCATGTAATTACAAATCTTGATTCACAGTTTTGAAACCAGTCAGGCAACTCACAGTCAACTCATTTGAAGGTTTGTGACAGTCAATATAACCAGTCATACATTTGATGGTCAATTGAAATGCAGTTACATATTGATACAAAACATCAACTGAGTGAGATGGCTATGTTTTCAGGCCTAGAAACTGGAGAGCAAGTAAAACAGATCTGTCAATTCTTTAAGGCATGCACAAAAATGAATCAAAGCAGAGCATAAATTCAGATCTGATGATGTAACATCTATCAGGAAGAAATCAGCACATTTCTTGTTTTGTACTCTAATTTGGGATATAGGCAAACTCCTATAGGAAATATCGTATGAGTATGATGATCAATGAGAACAGCAGAATGACATAATTCAAGTGGTTGAGATACTTTGATGTAGAGTGAGGATTTGGAGAGCCATAACTAGGTGATAGTCAGAGAGATGGATCTGCCAAGGAGTGCTTTGGCTGAACTGTGGTTCAAAGCCTATCAGCAAGTTGGATGAATATATAGTTTTTGAGGTGAACAAACACCAGATGCACAGAAGCACAAATTCTTGGTTAGGTCTGATGAATATGTGAGGCTTCAATCTCTTAACAAGAAGTGATATGATTTGAGGGACTCTTGGGGCAAGGCTTTGGCTTATATTTTCCTTGATGCAGGCTCTTCAGGTACCCCAGTCAGAATCACACTAGGGCAACCTGATATGCCATAGCTTGGGCAATCACATACTTTTTTGAGTTCTTCTCTTAATGTATGTGGATTACAACTTTTGATATGTCATAAGCCTGAGTGATAAGATTTGAAAATACCAAAAATGTAACAGGAAGCTTATTTCGAGGGCCTTGAAGTGAAAGTCATGTTCAAAAGTCTTCCTGGAACTGCCCCTTTTGGTGGTAGCTAACATCAATAGGTTTGAATGGATTTTTGGTGATTCTTACTTGACACCCATGCGGCAAGATCCTGGGAAATGGTGCAGGCAATACCTCAATGCACACTTTTGGAAACAACTTAGAATCACCGAGTCATTAATAAATTATTATCAAATTGTAAGTTTGGGACTTTGTTTTGGTTCATAATCGTAACTCACCGTCCCTGTCGACGGCAAAGGAAGAAGATTTGTCCCGACTCCGGCAGGGACTTGATCAAATCCTGGGCACTGTACTTTGAAAGCACAGTCTCGACTTTTCAGCCAAAAAAAGGTTCAATAACTTGCAACGGTGTGATACATACATGGTTGGAGACCCCAGATTTCCATCTCAAAAGCTTTAGTAAGCACAACTCGTATTTGAGCACGCAGTTCAAATGACAATCCAAAGCAAAAAAACCAAACAATCACCGAATTCGATTTTGACATGGTTCTTTGATATTTGGTAGAAATCCCAATCTTAACAAGGTCCCACGCTGTCTATCGGCTTTGTCAACTTCAGGAGAAATCACGAAATCAAGATTACTGTAAGGGCTCAGGTCCAGGGTCATGTTAAGCATAGCTTAACTTAGTTGGCACGTTGGATTTAGGTAAGAGTGATAAAACTACGTTAATAATTCGATAAGGAAACAATAACTAATTCTTCTACAACATTCTTATATACACAATATTGTAACTTCTATTCTAACATTTTCATCTCCATCACAACATAATTCAAATCCGTATTACACAATTCTTTTCTACTTATTTGAATTCGATATTTCTCTATCTCTTTACATAATATTCTTTTACATATTTCAAATCATTACAATAATAATCACCGTCTACCCTCATAACATTCCTAAAGCCGCTTGATAACCCATAGAAAATCTTGAATCTAACAAAGATGAAGGTACTGGAAATTGCGGATATTTCGCATGAAAATTTAAAATAAAAAGATCCAAATCTGATGAAATATCCGGTAATGAGATCCATGTATCATCCGAAACGGGTCGTCCTAGCCATCTTATCAGATATTCTGGAGGTGATTTATTCTTCTTCCTATAATCTAAAATTCCCGAAACATGTCGCCAATCATGCGTAGGAGCCACTAAATTCGATTTTTCTTTTTGAGGTAATGTATTTTTTCTGCCACCTATATCTGGAGCAAAATAAGGAGAGATGAGAGAAATATTGAACACTGGATGTAGTCTTGAATAAGTACTTCCCAGATTTAGTCTAACTGCGTTTGATCCTATCATTTCAACAACTGCAAAAGGGCCAATCTTTTTGAAGTCTAATTTCGATGAAGGACGCGCTGATGTAATGTTCTGTCTTGATAACCACACAAGATCTCCAGGTTCATAAACTGCTGCTGGTCGTCTATGTTTATTATACATCTCTGCTTGAGCGTCTTTTGCATGTTTCAATGATATCAAAAGGTTTAATTGAAGTGCTTCAAGATGTTCAATAAACTTGTCCGCGTGCGGTACCCTGGAGAACTCAGTGAAACTATTTGCGCGAGGATGAAATCCTTGCCAAGAAAAAAAAGGTGTTAATTTAGTAGAAGATGAAGTTGTATTATTGAAACAGAATTCTGCCATGGGGAGTAACTCGACCCAATCATCTTGACGATAACTGATGAAATGTCTTAAATATGTTTCCAAAGTTTGATTCGTACGTTCAGTTTGTCCATTCGGTTGAGGATGGAAAGCTGTCGAAGGTGCTGGCTGAATCCTTAGCTGTCTTTGCACAGCAGTCCAGAATGCACAAACAAAAGTTGATCCTCTATCTGATACGATTTTATCAGGATAGCCGTGATAACGAAAGAATTGAGAAACAAAAAGAGATGCTAATTGCGGCGCTGACATTGATTCCCTACACGGGATAAAGTGAGCTCCTTTAGAGAAATGATCCGTTATAACCAAAATAGAATCACAGCCTGAGGAAAGAGGTAATTTTACGATGAAATCAACACCAATCGTACTCCATGGTCGATCAGGTATTTTAGAAGGTATCAATTGTCCTTGCGCCGCCTGAGTGCTACGCTTCGCACGTTGACAAGAGTCACAACTTTTAACAAAGTCGATGACATCTTTCCGCAAGGTTTTCCACGCAAAGGTTCGTGTTATAGCGCTTATCATATGAGCTACACCTGGATGACCCATGGAGGCAGAATCGTGAAAAGATGAAAGAATCAACTGTCGAAGAGGTAGAGGAACAAAGAGACAATCGCGAAACCACCACAATCCCCCTCTAAACGAAAAAAGAGGAGGAGGAGAAGAACCATCAAGACCTTCGTAATTCTTATACGAATTTGTTAAAAGATCTCGAGTGGCCTGTGACGGAATGATAAAGGAGGTATCGATTGAACACACGGAGACGCCATTTTTTACCATATATGGTTTTAATAGCGTCATCCTGTTTACATCCGAAGACATCGGTTCATAATCAGGACGTCTTGATAGTGGATCTGCCGGATTGATTTTCCCAGGTGTGTGTAAAATCTGAAAGTTAAAAGAGCTAAGATAGGATGCCCAACGAGCCTGTCGTGGGGTTAATTTCTGTGATGTCATGAAATAGCGTAGATTTGCATGATCAGAGAAAACCGTTACTGCCGTCGGCGTCCCGGTCAGCCAAGCTCTCCATTCCTCAAAAGCTTCGACAATGACTCCTAGTTCTTGATCATGAACTTGCCAATTGCGCTCAGCCGGGGTAAGTTTACGAGAGTAAAAGGAAACAGGTAATAGATTACCATCCTTGTCCGGTTGCGACAATATGGCAGCCATCGCAAATCCAGAACAATCGGCCTGCAATGCTCTAGGTTTATCGAAATCAAAATGAGAGAGAAGAGGAGCTGTAGTAAAAGAATTCAACAAAGATTTAAAAGCAAGATAACACTCAGACCTAGTTAAGCCATTAACCACGTCAACATTCTTCTGAGTTAAAGCCGTAAGCGGAGCGGAAATAGATGAAAATTGATGAATGAAACGTCTGTAAAAATTCGTAAAACCTAAGAACCGATACAATTGCTTAGCATTAACTGGATATGGCCAATCAGCAATGGTACTTAATTTCTTGGGATCCATTCGTAATCCTTCTTGCGAGATTACAAAACCCAAAAAGGTAACCTCAGACTGATAAAATTGACATTTGTCCAAAGAAACATTGAGCTTATGTTGTTGTAATCTTGCTAAAATGCAACCCTGGGCCAGCAACGCAGGTGTTGCGTGTTGCGCTGCGCCTGCGTTGCGGTTTTTCTGACCGCAGCGCAACATAGAATCAAATTCTAGGTTGCGGCCTGACCCGCAGCGCACCATCATTTGTCAAATCGATGGATTTTTTGGGCCGCAACAACATTTGTTGCGTTGCTGCCCAAAAAAAATCACAGTTCGGCGTTTTTTTGGCGCTGTTGCGCCTGTTGCGTTGCGCGACGGTCAAGGCGCCGCGCAACCTGACCTCACCTTTTGTTGTTGCGGTACTTACCGCAGCGCAGCATGTAATGCAGGTTTGTGCTGCGTGTTGCGGAGCAACGCACCAAAAAACACTCGTGTTGCGGTGCGTTGCGTTGCTGGCACAGGGTTGTAAAATGGCTGCAATATGAGCTTCATGTTCCTCACGAGTTTTCGAAAAAATTAAAATATCATCAATATAAACAAAACATGAAATACCTAAATATTCAGACAAAACGGAATGAATGAATCTCTGAAAACATGCTGGACCATTTGCCAATCCAAACGGCATAACCAGACACTCAAAAAGTCCCCATGGAGTCCTGAAAGCAGTCTTCCACTCATCTCCCTCCTTAATTCAAATAAAATTGAAAGCTGACTTTAAGTCTAATTTAGTAAAAAATTTACATCCTGAAACTCTAGTTAACAAATCACCCAACAATGGAATTGGAAAACTATCACGAATTGTCATGGAATTAAGAGATCTATAATCAACACAAGGCCTATTCTTTTTTCCAGGTACTTTAACAAAAAATATTGGCGAAGCAGCAGAAGATGAAGAAGGACGAATATTTCCTTTAAGTAATTGTCCATCAATCCAATCCTTCAATTCTCCTTCCTCCATCCTAGAAAGCAAATAAGAACCCCCATACGTCGGTACCGCACCCTCTTTGAGACGAATGCTCATATCAAAAGAATCCCAGTGAGGTGGTAAAGA